AAAATTACAAATCGTTCCAAAACTATTTTTAAAACTCATAATCAAACAAATTTTATATTTTCAAATCATGATTCAAAAACTCAAAGTATAACTCTACACCCAAATCATAATTCTAAATCTAAACCACATGGAGCAAGAATTTCGAATAAAGGATCTCCCTCAATAGTCCATGTTTCAATAAACACCTTCGATTTGATTATGTGGTAAAAGTAACCTCAAAAGAAAGCAGAAATTCCGAACAAAAAAATCCTTCCATGGTCTCTGTTTTAAGAGTACCTTTCCACTACGCGATGAGTCTCTCTGATCTGATCATGCGGTGAAAAAAGACTTTAGAAGAAAAGGAATGAGGGATTAGGAATTCTAGATATATAGAAGATCCTTCCATGATCCCTGTTGCAATGCTACTTTCTACTACACAATGAGTCTCTTTTATCTGATCATGTGGGGGAGAAAGACTTTAAAAAAGATGAGCAAGGAGATTTAGACAAAAACATCTCTACTCTTTTTTTCTTTTCTTTTTTTTTTCTATGTATTACAATTACTTCTAATAGACTATATCTACTTTAGAATTTTTAGGATGATATTTTATCTTACCCTTTTATAATTTTATTTTTTCTTAGCAATGTGTATCATGTCAATCTTCACCATCTCGACTAACATTCTTTTGTAATGTTTCCTCTATTGGTCACTAGAAGGAATGAAATGAAAATGTTCCAAAAAAAAAACAAATACTGGGAGTGTAACCATGAAGCAAACCCCTAAGAGGTGGTGGGAAATTAGTATGATAGATGAGTAGAATCTAATATTTGACAGCTATTTTTGGTTTGAAGCATCTATATATATGTTGCATGTGAAAGGAACTCTTTCAAATTGGGGCCAAAATGGGTAATTTGTCTATTCAACTTTCAAACTCCACTCACTAGAAAGGGCATGAGCTATAGATTTAGTTGATGAGAAGGATTGGATTTACTCAAACAAAGAAGACATCAAAATAAATCTTATCCAAACACAGAAAAAATGAAAAGAAGAAACACACAAAAAAAAATATATATATATATATTTGATTTCATTTTTAGTGTACATTTTTTTCAATTTGGTCTAATTTCTAAAAACATTTAGGGACTTTGAGTCTGAAGGGACCTAATAAATAAAACATTTTGACAAATTTTTTGAATAAATTTGCTAAAGACCACAAAAAAAAAAAAAACTAAAAACTAAAACAATATTTTCCAAACAGAAAACATCTCCTATTTTCATTTGAAATGTTAACTATTCTTTGGCAATGATAAACTAAACCAACTTGCATAAGGAGAAATGTTCAATTTTTAAAAATATCATGTAAATTCATTTTTACTGATGTGACAGTGGAGTTGAGTATTAACTAATTGATTTTTAAATCCATCAATAATTGATCTAAAATAGTTCATCACATGAATAAATTTAGGGATCATGTTTTAAGGGTCACAATTGTTTTTTTTTTTTAATTTATTTATTTATATATCACCTTCTAATTTATTTATTTTTTAAATAATATCAGCAACTATGATAATATGCATCACATCCAATAAAAAAAACACCTCGTTTATGAGACCAACCATGGTCTCTATCATCTCCTAATAAAATCTACTAAACTAAAGACTTTGAAACAAATCAATTTGATTCTAGAAAGATATAAATATATATTTTTTAAATTAGTAAACATGTATTTATAAATATAAGAAGGTTCAATAGTCACCAAAAGATATTAAATTTCTCTCCATAATAATTAAACTCATAATTTCATACCATAAAATGATACCATTAGAACAAGTAATTATTATGATAAATAAGCCACAACAAATACAACTGGCCTTCCTCCACTAACAATTTGTTTACAATTAATTATAAAGAATGCAACAAACAAAGCCACCCTATCTTAGATCATACATTCGCTAGCTTGCCTTAGTCAGTTGTCATCTATGTGGTGATCTAACCTTGACAATCAAGCTGAACCACCAACAACCCTACCAATTCTCCCAAGACTAGAATCCAAGCCAGAATATTCAATTCTCTCATAGGTAGTTGTTTGGTGTAATTTATTGTGCTACTTATAAAAAAAAATTTGTGGTAATCTTTAGAATTTAGTGTAATTTCTATTTACGACTCATAAAGCATAAATAGCTTAAATAAGTCAGAAAAATGTCTATTATTGAGAAACAATGGGAGATATGCTTTAGTTTTTTTATTTTTGATTATTAACTTTTAACTTACTAGAAGTTGTACCAAACATAACCATAATATCACTGTGGTATGTTCAAATGATATTTTCGATTAATGAGATTGCACAAAAGAAAATGAATGAGATTTACTTTGATATTTTTTATTATCAACTTTTAACTTGCTAGAAGTTGTACCAGACAGACCCATTGTATCGTTGTAGTATGTTCAGGTGATATTTTCGATTAATGAGATTGCACAAAAGAAGGTGAATGAGATCGATCGCACAAAAGATTAATGAAATCGATATTGTCTCTCATATAACAAATCAAGTTAGATAAAATTGATTCTACTCATCTCATTACTAAAAATTTTATTAGTTTAAAAATACAATATCAACATACTATAAGTTTATAATATGAGACAACTAAATAATTAATCACTTGATATGAAGGAATATCATGGTTGTAGCAAACTTTTAAAAGAAGTAATAACTTGCTACAATAAAATGTCTTTTAGTTTTTTTTTACCAAAAACAACTTAATAGGCATTTGGAAGCACAATCCTTTATTTCAATTTTGTTATTTTCATAAAACATCACATATATAGCTTGTAAGGTGTCTCGTTGTGGTTATTAAAGACCTAGGGTTGAATCTTGACTTCATAAAGATTATAGGTATGTTTAGTACAACATTTTTTCAAATTAAAAATTAATAATCAAAAAACAAAAATAAAAAACACCCCTCTCAATTTTCAGATAAATAACTTTTTTTCAACTTAACAAGTTATTTCTAAACAATAAGTAAAATTTGACCAAAATGCTCAAAATAAAAAAATAAAAAATAGAAAAAATTGAAGTAAATTGCACTAAACATGACAATGCGGTTAATTCAAGGGAGGGCCACCTCATTGTGTGACCCATCACTTTTGGGTCAAATATGACAAAAACAAACCAGTAATTCAACATACCCAACATTTTTATCCAAAATTTCGCTAAAGTATATAGTGCGATTCATATTCACTCTAACGATGAACTCTATAAGGATTTGGAATGGTTGTTGTGTTGGGAGTATAGCAGTCACTATTGTACAGTTAAATAGGCTCATTTCTGAACGTATTTTGATAATCTAAATCATTTATTTCAGATTACATCGAGTAAAACATACCAATAAAAAATGAAGTTAATCAGATATCGTTAATCTTTGTATCTACAAAACAAACGACAAGTATGATTTAAAGTATTAAAATGAATACAAATGTACGTGGATGAAAGGGTTAACGAGTTGATTTTTTTCAAATATATTCTACTCGGTATACTCTAAAATATGACCGATTCAAATTATCGAAATGGATTTCAAAATGAGATTTAACTGCACAGCAATAAGCACAACATCAACTCCAAATCCACCCCCACAATTCCTAGGCCACACTACCTTTTCTTGTAGTTTTCCTCCTGGGCCAGTAGACTTTTTGAAAACCATAACCAAAAAGAAAAAGGCACATTTAAGCACAATATAGAATGCAGAGTTTGAGAAAATTTTCAGTGAAGTCCTAGTTTTTCTTTTTCGTAATTTTCATTTAACCCTTTATAACTAAGGCTGAGCACAAAAATTTTTAAAAAAAATCGCAAACTGGTCCGATCCAGGCCAAATCACACTGTTTGGTTTAATTTTTTCAATGCAGGATTTGGTCCATGATTTTATAATTATGATTCCAATTCAGAATCAATCTGGACCGTTTAGATATATACATATATGTGGGTGTTGATTTCTAACCACACAACCAAACGGGGAACTCAGCTGTAAAGTACCGGCAAAATAAATTGAGCCAATCACCTACTAACAAGAATGTGAGAATACCGCGGTGGTTCGTCCATCCGGGACACTTCGACAATCAAGTCAATAAACAAATATCTCTCAAAGATAATAAATAGTACTTAACTCACAACAAAGAACATAAAAAGCATACCTTAGACCCACCGAAATGCCTTACTTTTGTAATACCGAAATGCCTTACTTTTATAATAATCAGTGTCCAACTTCTTCTTACTTCATGGGATTCAAGGATAATATTTATCACAACTCACACTATTCAAATTAAGATGAACTTCTTCAAGAGTCTCATCTCTATCCAAATAGGTAGTTTGATATCATCTAAGACTCTAGTCCTCTATCTAAATATCTCAGATTCCGATATTATCGCTGCCTACGTGGCACCTCGGCTAACAATCTCGGCCACGTGGACTACCCAAAAATGTCCCCACAATATATATAATTTATTATTTATGTTAGACACTCAAATATTTTATATATTTATATATATTTATATATATATCATAAAGTGCTAACTCTTTGTTTACAAGTGTATGCTTATATAATAGTAGAATTAATTCTAAACAATCATTTAAATTTTATTTTATTTTTTTATAAAATAATGATATATTATTTGATCTTTGAGCAAGTTATGATTACGTTGTGAATGATGATAAAGTTCATAAAAATCGTGATTTCAAACCAAATCAAACCATGTTTTCATGGTTCAGTATAGTTCTAAATTTTACGGAAACGTGGGTAGCGATTTGGTCTTTTAATACCGAACCATGCTCACCCCTTTTTGTAACACATCATTCAACCCTATCAACTTGTGTTAACAAGACAAGTATAATTTTGTGAGAAAACATGCTTTTCAACTTTCTAATAGAAAACAATTCTCAAAGAGAATAAGAGATAGAATACCGTGACCCTAAGCATGACGAGTGTCAAATCCTTTCACTTCAAATCCATAAATCCAAACACGAGTTCACATGAAGAATAGGCAAGAAACTGAATTTTATTTAAGCATCATTTGGACAGTCCTCGCAGATTGCAAAACAAAATACTGCTGCAATCGCTTACAAAATTTTAAGGTTTCAAGTTGTTCAAAAGGCAGAGATTGTGAATGGCGGTGTTCTCATGGATACAATTGGGAAAACCATGACCCTTCTGTATGCTAAACTGTTGCATTGATTTTCATATCATCAGTGGGGTACAACTTGGATAATCAAACATGAAATTTAACTACCACTGATGGAAGTAGCGTAGGACTGGAGCATGGTTAAAGCTTGCTCGGCAATGGCCCTATCCCTCGCTCGCCTCAGCCAATCACTGATAACTTCCGCAGCTTTGGTGCCCTTGACGCCATTCTCAAGAGTATCGGCTGCTTCGGAGAGTTTTCCCTCTGCTAGGAAGCTCTCAACTCCGTTAATAAGAGATTCGATCCCATCACCAGAATGGTCAGCCTCCTTAACCTGCAAACTTACAGGCAATGTGATCTGATGAAATTATAAAATTAAAAAATATACATATATCCAATTAGTGTCATTTTTACTAATAAAATATTCTGAAACTTAAGGAAAGAACAATATATGTACCTTCAACAAGGATGCAACATGAGCCAAAGAATGTGCCAGAATGCCCCCACCACCTGGCGGGATCATGCTGAAGTGCCGTAACGTCCCTTTCAAAGCATCAAACTGTACAAATAACCAAGGTCAGATAAAATAAAACCATCTCCTTATTTTCTGGTTTTTTTTTTTTTTTTAAAAAAAAAAAATGGTATTCACTTCAATACTGATACTACAACAAGAACATTCAATCAACAATCAAAAGCAATCTCTTAAATTGTCAAGAATCTGCCGTGTTGAAAACATCAACACTAAGTGAACTTTGTTTACCCCAAAACAAAGGCAATTGCTAGTGCTGGACGCAAATAATCGAGGGTGCCGAGAGGGTAAACAGAGTTCACACCAAACATTTGGCATGATTTGCATAAAGTGGATGTCCTCATACTCGGACCCACATTCTCATGCATGGCAGCCCAAACTTCCTACCACAAAATGGCCTCTCACAAATATATATATATATATATATAATTGGCTAATAGTACTTTTGAGTTGGGCTTAGTTTGTCAAAAAACCATACTACAAAATAGAGTTCTCCATCAATTCATCATCATTTGTCCACCATTTTATAGCTGCAGAGGTAAAGGAAGAAATGCAGTTTTCAATATCACAACCAAATGTGTGGCCACGCAGGCATGTGTGTGTCGCATGCAAGTTCAACTTTCAACAAATGGACTGAAAACCCTCAAAGTAACTCCACAATATTTGTTTTTCCCCTTCTTTTGCAAATAGATAATGTACAACAATAAACTAAGCCACTCCAGACAAAAGAGTTGGCCTATTAGGCACCAGTTGCAAGGAACATACAAAAAGGCATCATGATGAAGAATTTACTTGATTCCACTGACCTTAGGTAACAACAATAGACTAGCTCATTCCATGGCATCCATAAACTTAGTTCTCATATCAATGTGGCAGCCTGAGACTACCGGGTACCAAAAATTCATTGACATGGGAATCACTGGGCCAAACATGATGCAGGCACTAATAATACTTAACCTATATATACAAATATTTAACCATAATGCTATCACTAATAATACTTAACCTATAGATACAATATTTAAAACCTATAGATACAATATTTAAAATAAACTATAGACAAGAAAGCCTTTCCATATTCCCCAACAAAGGACCAACTATAAGGCCACAGAAGACAATGAAAGCATATCACATTTGATTTGCATTGTAAAACCACTTATTGAAGGCAGTTGTCCACAGAATACAAATTACAGAAACCACCACCTCCACTTCACCTACTCCTTACCTACTACACACTCACCCTCTTCTATATATAGGAATCATGAATCATTGTAATATATATCAATAAACATCAATCAATAATACATAAATTCTTACAATCTTTGACAATGGCGGTGAAAGTAATACACAAGTAATGTAAAATGACAAAGAACATGAAAATTTATCAATAAACAATACGGCTGATAAAAAAGGAGTAGCAATGAAGTTTATATTATGATGGGAATGCCTAAAAACCTTGCCTTATGCTTCAATTGCAATGTAGTATCTGTGCCGGTGCTCCGTGTTTCTTCAGGAAGGGATGATAGAACCAAATCCAAAAGTGGGTCTTTATCAATGCCTTCAAGATAAGTGTGCAAAGCCTCTATTTCTTGTTGAATTGGTAGCCCTTTGGATAATGCATCTTCCAGTGCAAGTGCTCCCTGCAAGTTCAAGAATGGATTTGGGCTTGAAATGGTTAAGGTTGATTAAATTATGAAACTGAATAATAATACATGATGGATTTTCTGGAAGACAAGGGAACTCTAAATTTTTTGTGCTAGAATTGTAAGGTAACAATTAGATCTATGGTTTAGAGATGAATTTAGGGTTTAAGAAGGGATTATTGTAGTTGTTGGTATAGTTAGAAACTAAACAGACTGAGCACGAATAATAACTAGAGTCTCACCTAAAAGAACCCAACAGTCTCTTTTTTTGAAAAGTAATGAATGGAATCAAAAAGAGACACCAAGGGGTGTAATCCATGAACACAAAGGAAATGTATAGGAGCTTTTCGGGTTTTTGGTGTAATGACTGTTGGACTTGAAGTAGACAACTTGTCCTCTTCTCATTTATTAATAAATTTCATTTTGTTGCAAATCAAAAAAATATATATATATTGATTAGAGAATTTGTTATAAATCATCAAATTTACACCATCTTCTCTACATCTTAAAATCTACAACAATATAACCAAAAACTTACCAAAGCAAGCTTGTGAACAGAGTGACTATGGCGAGCCTCTTCAGACCGTGCATAGAATGCCATGCATAAGGCATTTATCTGCAAAAAGAACCTCAACTACATCAACTTCTGTGGCAAATCAAACCAAATGTGCTAAATTAATAAGACGTTTAAACAACAATGTTCATTGTGTATTGTACTCACGGATGGTTGGAACACAACAACCCACTTTCTAATGGCGCAGCGCATGGATGGTTGGAACACAACAACCCTCTTTGGAAGCCTCAAGTAGAACTCAAGGATCCAATGTGTGGGAATAAATGGTTTTGGTCCAATAAATGTAATTGGTTTTGGTAGTTTCCTATTTTTATTTTTAGTATTTAGAATATTTGATTACATTTCCAAAAAACATTGGGCTTGTTTGGTTTGATTTTGGGAGATGAGTTTGGGAGATAAAAAGTACGAAAAGTTGTTTGGTTTGGTTTTTTTAGAAAGATGTTTTGGAAAATTATTTTGAGAGAGAGTTTTGGAAAAAGTGATTGATTTGATGTGTATGAGAGAGAGATTTGTTTGAAAAACTTGTTTGGTTTAAAAGTTTTGGGAAATTTTTTTGGAAAAATTTGTTTGGTTTGAGTTTTTCTGAAAACTCATTTGTAGAGAAATTTTCCCAAAAATTTTTGGGAAATTCAAACCAAACGAACCCATTAGGAACTACTTTCCTAATTATTAGGGCCTAGAAATACTAGTCTTTATTTTGTATCATTTAGCATTTATATGCTTATAACATGAGACAGGTTGTGGCCAAATTTGTGAATTCTTTTCTCTTCTCTTTCCCTTCCCTGCCACATACTGCCTTAGTATGCATCATTTTGATATCAGAGCATATTGATCCCCTTAGGTCTTAGCTCCCTTTTCTTTTCGTTATGAAACTGTGGTTCCTAATTTTGTCCATCTAAGGCAATGAGCTTTAACAAGAGCCCTTGTTTCTTTGCCATTGTGAAGACCCACCATCACAAAGTCCCTCCTTTGTTCCAACCATCCAAGGGCTGCACCACACTTTCTACAACCAAAACCCACCATAATTCCTATTGTAGGCAACAATACTCCAAATTTACTAAAGGTGCCTAGCGTCGTTCATATAGTATGAGAATAATTTAGTAGTGCCAAATGATAGAAAATACATTTCTAGCATTGGCTAAATTAGTGAAGTTTGACTAAATTCTAATATTTGAAATCCATAAAGTTCGACATATTTTCCAAATTTACATTTATGCATGATTGTCGTTGCTATGGATCTCTCGCTACAGGTTGTCCTGCCTTCCACTGCCAGTGTTGATTCTTTGATTATAAATTCTTCTACTGAACCAATGAGATACTCTTGACCACGAAATTGTTGATTGTGTCCCAAATTAAATGTAAAATTTGCTCTTCATATATTTATGTGATGCATTTAATCCAATCTAAAAATAAATGAAGTAACTAAAATATATTAGAAACATATATGCGTGTCATATTTCTTGATGACAATAACTTTCCGATTTGTACTCTTATCTCCCAAATTTTCAAAAGCATGAAATAAAATCTGACAGACAATCTGCTAGCTATTGGATATGTATGATTGATGCATGGTATTGAGAAATTGAACTTGCCCATGGATATTTCTGTGGATATTTTTTGGAAACTTATGCTCTAGGCAAGTGGTTTTATTTTTACTGGTAAGCATTGTTCATAGCTATGTTACCTGTAACACAAATCATTCTGGTATGTGGGACAGGAACTAGAACGTGGTACACGCCATGCTCTAAAATGTGGTACAAATTGTACGATAAGAGTAGGCTTGTATAGATTACAGTATAATAATTCAAGGTACTTCTAGAATAATTTTATTTTAACAATTAGACATTCAATAATGTAAAAATTTATGTATTATTGATTGATGTTTATTGATATATATTACAATGATTCATGATTCCTATATATAGAAGAGGGTGAGTGTGTAGTAGGTAAGGAGTAGGTGAAGTGGAGGTGGTAGTGGTGTAGTGGGTTAGGTTTAGTGGAGTAGGTGAGGTGGTAGTGGTGTAGTGGGTTAGGTTTAGTGGAGTAGGTTTAAGTGGGTGAAGTAGGTGGAGAGTAGGTGGATTTTAACAAATAAAATGCAGTTTTTCTTCAAATCAATCATGTAGTAACACATTTCTATATGATCATCATAACCCATTTTTTTACATTTTGTCCAATTAACTTCAATCATCTTAGATTTTAGTTCATTATATTTGATATTTTTAAACCTTTAAAGAAATATTTTGCAAAAAACTTTAGGATCACTTCGGACCGCTTAATTTACCATTTTGGAATGAAAGTGTACTATGTTTGGAACGTGCTTTTCAAAACGTGAATCATTAGGTATTAGCATTTTCTGGTAACAATAGTTCATAGAGATTTTTATGTAACATTCAATGTTTTGTGCAATCCTATATTAGGGAACATTTCAAGTTGTACTTCAAATTTCCTCAGTTTTCAAATCTCTCCCCTCAAAGTAAAAATTGCTATTCATATTAGGGTTGTTTAAATATCTACCTAACCCACCCAACTCAACCCGGACTGACCACCAATGCAAGTTTTTAACACTAGTTTCGGTCGGCCATGGGTTTATGTTACTAATTTTTTTGGTTTCACAATCGGGTGTTGAATTAGGAACCAAAAAGGCAGCGGGGCAGGATGGGGCGGGTTTGTAGTGCCCTACCCCACATCATATTGGGGGTGGGACAATCAAGGCGATGGTGGGGGGCAAGGCAGGAACGGGTTAATTTTGTAACTTTATGAATGACAATATTAATAAATATGAGATGATATGGTATATTATTGATAATGTTTTGTAACTGATGAGAGTTAAAAAGATGAAAAATAAGAAATAGAGAAGTTAAAATGAATGTTAAGTAAGTGTAATATTTTAGTGTTTCAATTTTATCTATCATATTTAAGAAAATAATTATATATTATATACATATAAATATATTTAGTAAATGTAATAGAGGCAGGGACCAGGTAGATTCCCATCCCAACCAAAAATCCACAATCCCAACCCGACACGATCGATATATTGAAGAAAAATACTTTTCCAACCATGTGGCTTCTTTTTATTAGCTGAAAATATTACAATCTTATCTTTTTGACTAAAGATATTACAAACTTATCTCATCTCTTGGGGATTAACCATAGACATCATCATTGCTCTATATTCAAATGTTGATTATAGACCTCTCTCTCTCTCTCTCTCTAGAGAAACCAAAGCCCCTTCACATTTCAAAACTATGTCTTTAGGCCTTTGCCTTTCCCTTTGGAGATTACTTCGCTTCTCAGTCTTAGATCTCCCTCTCTCACCTCTTCTCCTCTCTCTGCCTTGGATCCCAAAGCCCTTTCACTCTAACTCAGAGCCCTTCCTTTTGTCTCTAACCCCTCCCCCTCTCTCCTCCTCACACCCAAAGCCCCTTCTCTCTAAAACCGGTCTCTCATTCCCCCCCTCTCTCAAGTCTCACTACGTCTCTCACCTTTCCCCTTCTCAAATATGACTCTCTCTCACCCTCAACCTTAATCCCTGTCTCTCACCACCCTCGTCAAAAATAATTTTAGGGACTTAGAAATTGATGTTGTTTTAATTTTTGGTTACTAAATTAGACTATGCAACATGGCAGAGTGGTCAGTTTCGACACTTAACCAAATATTATTCAACCCAGATATGTCCAGTTTCAAACATCTAGTTGGTCAAAATCAGGTGCCTTCATCCTAAACCCAAGGTAATCGGTTAAGGTGGGTATGGAGTGACCCCGACTCAACTAGACCTATGAACACCCCTATTCATATTCTAATGGAGTTGAAGTTTGCGTCTGAATATAAGGCCTACAAGTCAGCAATGTTGCAATTATATGTGCTAAAGTAACTTCAATGGATGTCATACATGTAGATTTGCTTCTGCCATCTTTTCTATCTGGAATGCCTTCTCACTTGCAATTGCTGCAGCCAATTCGGCTTTTGCTAGCTCCTGGATTTTCTTCAGCTGCAATTCTGCTTCAGCTTCCTGCAGCTTCAAGAACAACTTAAATACAAGTCTCCAATTGTTGACCCAGAAAAATATTAACATGGAACTAAGCTTGCACCTTCTGCTCAAGTTCCATCCTAAGTTTCTCTTCTAATTCTCCCTGAAGTGACTTGAGAGCAGCAGCAGCTTTAACTCTTTCTCTATTTAATTCCTGAAAATGGATTGATAAAATGTAAACTTCAATGGCAGTAGAAATATTATAAAATACCCAAGCTATTGGAATAATCATACATTTGCATATAGAGTTGTGGACATTTTGGTGGAGGCATCAACATGTATTCAATTCCATTCAGGAGTAGGTTTAAGTGGGTGAAGTAGGTGGAGAGTATGTGGATTTAGTGGGTTAGGTTTAGTGGAGTAGGTGATGTGGTAGTGGTGTAGTGGGTTAGGTTTAGTGGAGTAGGTTTAAGTGGGTGAAGTAGGTGGAGAGTAGGTGGATTTTAACAGTAGGTGTAGTGTAGTGGAGGTGGTAGGTGAAGTGGGTGCTAGTGGAGATGGTAGGTGGAGGAGCAAATTGGTAAATTCTAACATATTTTTTTTATAGGTAGAAATCCTAGACAAAGATGACCAAATGCCCCAAGAACCTACAATAGTAGCTACACAAATTTCAAGATTAGTTTCTCCTTCAACAAAGTGAAAAAATTACTATTTTAGAGAGCTATAATATATACAATTAGAAATTCCACTTCGTTTAAGAGGTTCCAGCAACAGGTCTCTGAATTCACTAAGCCAAGAAGAGAAGAACATGAAAAAAAAAAAACAAACAAAAGAAAGAAAGAAAGAAAGAAAGAAAAAATAAGTGTAGTGCTATTCATGGTCCCATTATTATAAATTACACTCCATATTGTTTTTTGTATCAAAATTTACAAATGACCCCATTCCCAATACACATTAAATGAGAAAAATTGGAGTGCAGTTGTGAAGAAATGGAATGCTAATAACACTTCCCAAAACAAAACATAAAAGCAAAGCAACCTTAATTGCTAATTCAATAAACCAAAATTAACCTTGAACTAGGATTTCCCACGGTTCAAATGCAAATCCAATCGTCGGGAAGAGAACATGTTTTCCATGCATATCTTCTTCCTTGGAGAACCCCTGTGATGGTTTCCGGTACTCTCACCTCTCAATTTTTCATCTTTCCTTGAGCCACATGAGGGATCCAAGATCGCCATTTTCTGCTGATGGTGATTGGAGTTTAGTCTCTTTGATATAGCAAGGTTATTGCAAAGTGTGAGCTGAAAGTTAGTCTAGAGTGGCAGATTGTTCCCCCTTTAGATCAGGTGTTGCTTAAACAGAGGCTATGATTGAGGGAAAAGAGGTTACTGTGGAGATCTTTGATGCTCCAAATGGTCGAGGGCTTCATTCAATGCGAAAGGTTAATTTGGAAGGAAAGAGAAACTACTAAGTGCCCCTTTTTTTATTCTAGTATGGGGACCTCATTACTAGCACAAATGGCTTAATGGGTGAGCGGCTGATAGTTCAATTCCGTGATTGCCTTTAGGTGATCGAAGTCATTAGTGTTATCAAACCATTATATTTCTCTATTCAGCATTCCACAAAAGTTTGTTACCAATCCCAACCCAAGCTAACCTTTTTCTCTTAACCACCTTATTCAAAAACCTCTTACCCTTAAACAACCGACCGTCCTTCTTTTTCAATTGAAAATCATATCAGCCTGAATGAGAAAGTGCAGCAAAGGTACCAAATTAAAGGGGCATACCAGAGTCATGAATGACACTTTGATTGTGTCATAGTTTTAAAATTCACATTAGGGCAACAAGATAAAAGAAACCAATTGAATAACTTGAATGGGGCTAGTTATTTCATCATGCTCAAACATGAGCCGATTGTTCATTAAGAAGATTCAAAATCAATGGATGCCCAAGCGGATACAACCTAAAAAAAATTCCCTCGCCCCTCGAGTCACTTGCAAGTTGCATCCCTCTGCCATCCACTCATTCCCTATCAAACTTGTGCCCGTGGTTGTTAGAATTGTATGATTCACAATTTGATTCATACGATTCGATACAAGTTTCAACAAAAATGATTCGAACTGTGCTGTTGAATCAAAAAATTGAGTGAATCATACAATACAATTTCCAATATGATTCATTGCAATTAACTACGATTCACTGTGATTCAATTTTATTTCTATTTTGTTTACATAACGCATGAAACAATGGCGCTTTTGCCAAACTATGAAGATATATAGAAGAGATTAATTAGTTATATTAACTTACATAATTTTATATGTATATACATATATATAATTTACTTTATTTTAAACATTGTATATATTTTTAATATTATATACATATAAATACATAGAATTATATATCATATTAAATAAAATGAATCTTACAATTCACGATTCACTATTTTAACAAAACGATTCAAGATTCGATTCACGATTTGACAACAATGCTTGCGCCTTTATAAATAAGCCTCATTCAATCATAAATTGTCAGCCCACCCTCAGATTCACTAAGAGTGCATTGAATAATTTTTTAGATTAGGACATGAAAATGAGGATATTCAAACAGATAGAAGAATGCAACTCTTCTCGCAACCTCAAAAGGTTTTGATTGACCTATAGACATAAACAATTGGGGCCTTTAGCACCCTTTTCCTTCTGTTCGGTGAATTTGTTGAAGAAATAAGTGGCCCACAAAGAATGGAAAGAAACATTCTATTTGACCTTAAATGGTTCCCTGTTGTTTTATTGAATTATCCTTCTTGTAAGTAAGTTTATCAACCACTCACAAGACCACTGAGATCTTCGAATTAGCTCCCAAAAGAAAACCAATGGCCTCGGGGTGGGTAGGAGCAGGTGAAGTCTATATCACATCAAAGCAATAGTTGCGTCTGGATCTTATCCAACTACTCGTAACAGATCCAAAAAAAGGACTCAATCCTTGGCTAGAGCCACCTCTCTTTTTCGCTAAGTGACCTTTCTCCACACTTCTATTGAGTAAATTACTGAACCTTCTCCTCAGGAATGTAACCTTTAGGCTAGTACCTGATTCAATTTGATTGATAGCCATGAAATCAATCGCTATACTGAAAAGATCACAGGCATTTACATATTTGTCAAACAGAATTGTGCTTGATTCTCTCATTAATCGCTTTCAGAGGTTAGTGCTATAAGGCAAAGTGGGACATGACACAAAACAAAAGACAACTTTCGAGAGTCACTTAACTCCTTGACTGGTTGGTTTGGGAATAGGCTATTTTAGTAACTTTTTGACTTTTTGGCTAAAATATGATGTGAAAAAAATTAATATGTTTGGGATAATTTTTTGGCTTTTTACAAAAAAAATGTGCAAAAAATAGAGAGATAAAAGAATCTTTGACTTTTTTGTATGGTTTTTTGGCTTTTTAGCTTGTTAGTGACTTTTTGACTTTTCTAGGATGTTACTAAACCAAGCCACTCCAAAAAAAGACGCTGTGTGGCAAGTCAATCAAAGTTAAAGCATGAGTTAGTATTTGCTTTTCCTTTACTTAGTTGCTAAGAAGCACGGACACTTCTAAGAAGGTAATGTATCTGTGTTGTGTCTGTATCGGACACCGACACTCTTTGGACACTCTTAGGACACATGTCCGACACTCTTCAAAATGTATCCTATTTTTTAAATTTTTTTAAAAACCCGGACACTCTTTGAGCACTTGGGGGACACACGTCTATCGATTAGACACATGTGAAACTAATTATAACTTTGAACAAAACAATTTAAGATATAATAATAAAACAAAAATCATACTCCCTCCGTCCCAAAATATTAGTCCCTTATTTCATTTTTCGTTGTCCCAAAATATTAGTCCCTTTTCAAAAATTAAGGACTAAAATAATATGAATTTCCTATTATGACAATTGATATTGCCAAAAAAATGCACTGTCAAAGGGTAATTTTGAAAATTTTATATTTTTAAAGTGCTATAATTGTACTACCAAAAAAGTTGGATTCCCCAAAAGGGACTATTATTTTGGGACGGAGGGAGTATAAATTTATAGGAATTAGTGTCATATCGCATTTTTTATTACCTTTGAATGATATATTCATATATATAACATATAATAAATATATAAAATTATATAATTCATGTGTGTCCCCTACATGTCGTATCCTACATTTTTCAAAAACTAGCGTGTCAACGTGTCCATATCGTATCCGTGTCGTGTCACATGTCCGTGTCCATGCTTCTTAGCTTAGTTGTGTGGTTGGCGATTGATTCGTGGCGAATGGAGAATGCTAGGTCTTTGGTGAGATGATTTTGGTCTTCACTAGTTTGGCTGCACCGTTGTCTCTTCATTAGTTTGGTCTTATCAGGTAGGATTGGTAGGAACAAGCCCATGTTAGCTGCTCAATCCAATAGATGCTTCTGTGTGATTTCTTCCATCTCTTGAACTATAAGAGTTCATTTTGCTTAGGCTAGATTATGTGTTTCCTAATCCTCGAGGAGTGTCATTTGTGTGTCTAGGCTATGTTTTGAGCTTCATTGTAACCATCTTTCTCTTTTAGTTATAAAAATAAAAATAAAAAAATTTAAAAAAAAAAAACTTACAAAAAACAAAACTTGCATTGTGTAACAAGAAGTGAAAGCACCTTAGGATGCATATACAACAAAAAGTTGCTTATTACTAGACCTGGATGCATTCACTAAATGCAAAAGCAAAACATGGTGATCATATACAAGAAAATAATATAAGAGCAGAAGAGAAAATAAATCTGTACCTTGTCCAGTATAGCCGCCTCTTCAGCATACATAAGCTCCCTGGCCCTAGTATCCTTCAATTCCTTTTCATACTTCTCCTAAATTATTTAAATAATATCATGAGAAAGAATACAAAGAATCAAAGAATATAAATTACTAATCACCATGGTATTAAAAGTCATAAAATATTGCAAATATATCTGAAAAAAATAAATTGATGTATTATTATTTATTGATATCTTGATGTTGTACAAGATTGATATCAATTACAATGATTCATGAATCCTATATATAGAAGAGGGTGAGTGTGTAGTAGGTAAGGAGTATATAGAAGAGGCTTAGGATGCATATACAACAAAAAGTTGCTTATTACTAGACCTGGATGCATTCACTAAATGCAAAAGCAAAACATGGTGATCATATACAAGAAAATAATATAAGAGCAGAAGAGAAAATAAATCTGTACCTTGTCCAGTATAGCCGCCTCTTCAGCATACATAAGCTCCCTGGCCCTAGTATCCTTCAATTCCTTTTCATACTTCTCCTAAATTATTTAAATAATATCATGAGAAAGAATACAAAGAATCAAGGAATATAAATTACTAATCACCATGGTATTAAAAGTCATAAAATATTGCAAATATATCCATCTGGCAACATATGAGTCAATATACTGAAAATTGTTAAGTGGTTAAACAATATCTTAATGGTTAGCTAAAGTTATACAATATCAAGATATTTAGCAAATATTATGATAACAAGAAGATGCCTGTAAACAAAACAATACATCCAATGAAATTCACTGGAAGCCCACTTTACCAACAAAATTCTGAATATGTAACCATATAACACATGTTTCAAGGCTTTCTATCAGCCTTTCTTTACAAGATTTTAGCCAGTAAATGTTTGAAGCTATTTCCAGCATTATTAATCCAAGGGGGTTTGTACACTTCATTGAACACGAGTGAAAATATAACTATCTCATGCTTCAAGTTGGTATCTACTCCCTTAGATCTAAATTCTAAATTATAAACCCTAAAGGTGGAACCTTAACACACCATATTCCTTTCCAATGGAAGCAATCATCCGAAGCATCAACAAGCAGTTTTTAGAAGGATTTTACCCCAAAACCCTCTGAGCAGGGCAGCAACCCATCTCATCACATACTCCGCTCCTGTCACTAGCACACCATACAGAGTCTCCAACACTGCCTTATGTATCGAAAAGATTTTCCCATAAATTTTCCAATTTTTTCTTAGTAAAGATTATGAAAATTTTCAAAATCTGGAAAATTGCATTTTCAAATTTGCATTTGGAGATGAATTAAAGGGACGGAGTGGTTGTGCTTCCATAATTTTGTATATACCATTGGGTACAGTGCATCCCTCTTCTACATATCTCTGTGCATATGAATGAGCAGATTAATTATGTAATGAAGAAGAGATTTACACTTTTTTTAACTTAAAAAATCTAGCATTCAGGACTTGATTTTCAATTTATCAAACACCACCTCAGTGTGTAGATTAATCAAGGTTGTAACATAGATAATTATTAGAATAATACAATATAATTATTCTCTCTCAATTGGTTGGGTTCTGTCACAATCTCCACCACCCAAAACCACAACAATCACCCATCTCTACCACCCAAAACCATCAGCACCACCCAAAACTGCCACCAGCACCTGGACCCTATCAGCATCCACCACAAAACCCTAGTTAACAACACCATCACCATTGTAGCAGCTCCCGGTAATTTGTCCCTCTTCCCCCCACCAAACCCCGTCCACCCTCCTCCCTTTTCCCCGACCAAAGTGCCACCCTCGTCCTCCCTCCTCCCCCACCACAATGCCATCCCCCATCCACCCCAAATTGTTGCCCCTTTCACCCACTCCCGTTTGCACAACCCTTCCCCCATACCCATCATTGCAACCTAATCCCTCACCTCCCCCACAACCGTTGCTTTTGTATTGCCCTCACAAAAGTTGTGTGTCACAAATCAAACTTTAAGAGAGCACTACATTTTTTTTGGCTAAACCACGGTGAAGAAAAGCGTATCTATTAACACTAGCAAAAGTTTCATTAGAAGTGTCCTCAGCAATTGTTGAATTATCAGCTATTTTCTTCAAAGAAAGTTGCAAAATCAATATGAATTGAGGTCACCATATCCATATTGTTAAAACTCTAACATAATTTATGCAGCACCACAACATCATTAATCCAAAAAAAATAAAAAAATTGAACTATAAACCATATATAAAGTCATTGAAATTTTAAATTTTAAAAAAAAAAAAAAAAAAAATTCTAGAGTAAACCAAATATCAAACCTTCAACTTTCTCTTTTCTTCAGCAAAAATATGAGCATCTAACTCCGCTTGCCTTTTCTCAGCTGCATGAATGGCTTGTATGAAATCAAGAACCAGTTTTCCATCCTTGGATATGTAAACATCATTGGAATCTTCACTTGCACCAACTAAATCCTTCAGTTTTGGAAAACCAATAATTAAACATAAAAAATCCTTTCCCCCCAATAGAATAAGCATGAATTAGCAAACAGTGAGTGCATAAACTATGGTACAAGTACTCAACACAGCCTATTTATCTTCCCAAAAAATGTCTGAAGGCACTGACCTTATGTTTGTCAGATAAAGTGGAAATGGTTGCCTGATCCATATCTCTCAAGTAATATTCATCAAGAAGGGAACTTGGTTGTACCACACCACCATGTGCATCCTGCAAAAAAGTACCCCTAGAATAGTTGTAAATGAAATGCAATGCAATGCAATTTAACCTTAGTAAGAATAATAACTTGTACCTCTGGCATGTCTGTAGCAGTTTGCTGCCCAGGTGATGTTGACTTCATCTCATTTTCTTCAGGAATTGCATTAGCCTCCTTAAGTATCGTTCTGCTTTCAACTGCCTCATGCTGCTCTATCTTAGGTTTCATGTTTGTGCTTTTCACGTCAAGCCTCTCGTCAAGTGATGTTCCAGAAGTTTTACTTTCATCATCAGATGTCACGATGCTTGGAGAAGAGCTGGGCAACTCTTTCTCTTCGATAGGTGTTATATCTTCTTCAGGTGTCAATTGAGTTTCATCTTTTACCTGAAATTGGCTTTCTCCTCCGCTTCTGCTCAAATCATCAAGGTGAGGAAGATCTGAATGAGTTTCAGTGTTTTTCTCAGCAGGCTCTGTATTAGGACTGGACACATTTGACTCTTGAATGCTGGACATCACATTTTGCTCCCCCAAAGGTTTATCTTCTTTCAAATCTTTAATATTTGTTGACAGGTCCACTGGATCTATTTTAACTAACTCAAGAGCACGACGACGACGCTGTGCTTCAACAGATTGTTCATTTAAACGATAAGCTGCCACAGCAGCACCAAATGCAAGAATTCCAATGATAACTTTTGAGAAATAACTCCCCGACTCAGGTGGCTTGCCTGTTGAACCAGACCCTTGGGGCGCATTTTGCTCAGATGCAACTGAATATGGCTTCCTAAAAGAAAGATGTGAGGGTATCTGCCCCAAAAGCGAAGAAAATGACAATGTAAGAAATATATTGATTTTATAAATATATAATATAACAAGGTGAAGTTGCACGACTGATAGAATAGTTTCCATCTTATCTGGCTCATAATTTCGAATGCCCCTGATATACCAAAAACAGAGGAAGAAAAAAACATAAAAATAAAAAATATAATAATAATAGCAGCAGCAAAAAAGTTTACTGCATTGATGGGCAACCTTTTTTTTCACTTACTTCAAAAAAAAAAAAAATCAGCAGATCTAAACTAATACGCATCAATGCAGCTGCCCTCTGTTCCACGGTTTACTGATTTTGGACTGAGAACAATGGTCAACATTTACCATCAGGTACTACATGACCGAAATGATTACTACTCCTCTGATGCTTGCACAAGCTTTTGATACCAAAACTTAGAGTTCCACTACATTTGATCATTCTGGTTCATTACCACAGTCACACGTGTATTGCAGCCAATTGTCTTGACCTATGATCAGGTAGTTTATGTTCCTCGCAGGTATCTAGTAGTTACAAATAGATGTCGCATTATACTGAAAGGATTCCTTATACTTGCTAACTAGGTGAACAGTTCAATTTTGACGCTCTTATCTATTGCATTTGCATTTCTATAAGAACAATAAGAAACAGACTTTTTGTCCAGACCCTTGTTTTTATGAAGTTATATGATTATATCTCCCTAGTTGCCCACATGTCTTCGTAATATAATAAATACACAAATGAAATAAAAAATAATATATATATATAATACAAGATTGTAAGAGCATCTCCAACAGTGCATCAATTTTTTCATCAAATTTGAGTAAAAGCTTCCTTTGATATCAAGTGCTCCAACGGAGGATTTTGGAGCTTTATCAGAACACCGGCCGATCGACCAATCAACCGGCTAGTGTAAAAAAAAAAAATTGCCTTGAGGTGGTCGTCCGGTGGGCGTCCGGCAACGGTAATGAACGGTGATTTGATAAAAGGCACATTGGTCCTCAGTTTGATGACAGAAAAGTAAAGTCCTCAATTTGATACTTATTTGGTGCAACTGTTGGAGCAGCAAAATGACTCAAGTTTCAACAAATTCAAATTTGATAACAGGTTTGAGTAACCATTGGAGATGGTCTAAACACAACATATATCAACGGATAAGTGATCAACCCAATAAACTTTCACAATTATCATGAATTGAGATAATGCATACTGGGGAAAAAACAAACAAACAAGCAAACAAATAAAAAAGAGAGAGAATCATGAATTGAGCTAAAAGAACATGATGATTGATAGGTAACATTGTTAAGCGAGTGTTCAACATTAACATATTATACAATATATATCAACCCAAAATCAGCTTTTGAACCCATTTTTCTCCACTTTAAGAAGAAAAAAATCAAATAAGCTAGTTAATTTGGTTTCTTTTGAAATATGTGATAAGGCAAGAAATATAACATGCCTGAGTTGAAACCCAAGTTGGGTTCCTTCTAAAAGATTGACGGGACGAAAGCTCCAAAATAGACCTGCGAAAGCCAAAACAAAATTCCAATGGGTCAAGCACACAACGAATGGGGATCAATTGAGAATGCAAAACCCTAACGGACCGAATCACAGAACAACCCTCAAACAGATACATATGATTCAGCTATTTACAATTACACACATACATACAGATATACATATGTAGGAACGTATATGCATTGATTTGTGTATGTAATTATAGCGTACCTTCGCAACATGTTGTTCTGGCGTTGAGAGTAATGAGAATTCAATGACGATTGAAGTGTGATTGTTGTTGTGAGTGTGAAGGGGATTATCTCTCTCTCTCTCTCTCTCTCTCTCTCTGTAGAGTTGCTTCGTAAAAAGAGGTGAGCGAAGAGTGAAGACAAGTGTAGAAAGCTTTGCCGAGAAATGGATGGTGTATCGCCTGAAAACCTTGAAGCCTGCCTGCAGCGACTCCCGGCCAAAATGATAAATTTTGCCCATTCTTAATATATTTTAGACAAATTATAAATATGCCCTTAAAATTTAAAAATTAATATAATGTACTCTCTTAAACTAAAAAATTGACACAATATAGGGTGTACATCTCATATTTATGATAGATTTTTAAATAGTATTTTCATCACAAATACGATATGTACATATTTTTGTCTGTTTTTGTTAATAAAATATAAATATAAGAATTTGATTGAAAATATACTTTCTATCTGTTTTGTTAATAGAATATAAACATAAGGATTTGATTGAAATTTTGAAGAGATACATTGTATTAATATTTTGTTTTGAGGGGTGAAGTAAAAAATAGTAATAGTTGAGGGGAGTGAAGTGTAATTTGTCCTAAAATTTATTTAAATTACAAATTCCATATAATTAAATTATAGTTTGTCCTTTCTAAAAAAAAAATTAAAAAAAATTATAGTTTGTTCTTTCAAATTTCTTCTAACTACATAATCAATTATTAAGTTAATTAAAATATATTTTATTGTAAAATGTATAATAATGTCATTTATCTACCTATATAACTATTGAATTCCTTACTGTAATAAGACTAAATATTTTTTGAATCAAAATCATATCAATGTAATCAAATTTGTAAATTAATTAATTAATTACAAAAAAAATGTATTTTTTTAAAAATCTTATAAGATGTTATTGTAATTCATCTTTTATTAATGTTAAAATGGGTGCTCTATTTTCACCCAAAAAACAAACCCAAAAATATATATATTTGGTGGAAGATCCATTTTAAAAAATGTGTAAGCCATCAAGTCTCGTGAGTTTTTTTCTTTGTGAATAGTACATTTTTTGTAAAATATTATAGTGAGTAGTACATTTTGGTATTTTAGTGAACATTTTGTTTTTAATTTAATCCCTTAACCTATCTGTTGAAATCTTTTTATCTGTTTAATTTTTTTTAATTTAATTTGTATTTATTTGTTCAATTTTTTCCCTATCTATTCAATTTGTTCCCTTATCTATTGAAATATCTATCCAAATTTTATTATCTATTCAATTTTTTCCTCCTTCCTGTTTAAATCTATCTACACAAAATCCCAAAATCCTCTATCAGTACAAAATCTCAAAATTCCAAAATCCTCAAGAACTACCTCTTCACTAGATCACCAAATAACCCAACTCAAGAACTTAAGAGATCTAGCGAGAGAAAAATAGATAAATAGAAAAAAATAACATGGATTTATATATTGACTAAATCAATAAATTCGATGGTGTGGTGGAGCATTGGTTCCATAATCATTCAAATTTGAACCGCTAACAATACAGATAATAGGGAGATTCTCACTATAAGCTCCAGCAATGTCGTTGATGACGTTGAGGCCGTCGACAGCAAAAGTGACGACGTAGGCGCCAACGTTAAACTATGAATTTGAGTGGGTTATGAAGATGGAGTTAGAGAGATGATAAAAAATATAAAGATGGAGTTAGAGAAAAATACATGACCTAAGAAAGAGAAAGCCATGGTAGAGTTGAGCTTCAATATTGCATGTAACGTTCCCAAATAACAGACATAATAATTATCCTAGATATTCAGAACAATCTCAATTCAATTGGTCAAGTCTCTATTTTTGTATTTGATATCACATAAGAGATTTACAAAACAAGTCCACATACAATACATATTCAATCTTCTAAAAGTTTGAATCTATAGCATGCGAGACGATTAGTACAAAGAAACAACACAAAAGAATGCCCTAAGGCTACAATTCCAATCTTAAACTCAGTTACACAAAAGATGGTTATCAAACCCATACAAGTAAAACCTTGGCTTGTCAAAATAAAAAAAAAAATAAAATAAATAAAAAAACCTCATGCTCTAAAAGGTACTTCACACGCCTTTGGCTAGACGGGATCATCACATCATTTTGTGCACAAATCCACGAGAGGTGAGTACAAAACCCAGTAAAGAGATCTTAATAGAGTGTATGTGTTTAAGCAGTCTTGCAATATATATGTCGTACAATGCCATGTTCCCAAAATCCATATAATTGTTCTTTTAGTTTGTAGCACTAATTCAGCTCTAATGAGTTGACAGTGCAAAGAACAAAAAAAAAAAAAAAAAGGGCCAAACTATCACATCAGTAGTGGGGTCCACATGGTGCCACATAGGGGTGAGCAGCAGATATACCGATCCGCAAAAAAACGGCCGATCCGATCCGATTCGCCGCATTTTTTGACGGATGCACGATGACGAGCGAACGGTTGCGGATTGATTTTCTCCAATCCACCAATCTAGCGGACGGATGGCGGATTTGAGATTCCTTTGGCCGCAACCGAACCGCCAAACCGCGTGCACCCCTAGTAATTTATAAGATTTTGTGTGTTTTAGTTTTGTTTAAATATTATGTTTATGTTTTCAATTAAAAAACAATTTAAATATTATTTTGAAAAAAAAAAATCAACTTGAAAATCTTTATTTTTGATTGAAAAAAATAAATGTATTATTTATCTATATTTTTTGGTTTTTAAATCTATCTCTAAAAATAATAAATAGCAAATATGATATATGTTGGTTGGTTTTTGTTTCAAAAATAGATATAGATGTAACAATACAGAGACATACAATCTCTACTACTGTTTTGTTCATGGTTTTGGTGGTTTGAATTGTTTTTATATTTTAAGAATCGCATATTGTAATACTTTATGTGGATGAGGCATGCTGTGATTGTGATATTCTAAAGTTTCAAATTTTGTTGCTTTGGATGAGGCATGCAATAATTGTAATATTTTTTTTAAGTCATTGACTGTAATATTTTTTTATTTTTTTTTAGGAAGTGCACAAGGTGAATTATGTTGAAAATTTATAAAATTTTAAACCGCCAAACCGATTCGCATCCACCTGCCAAACCGCCAATCCGTTCAATCCACATCCGCCGGATTAGCGAACGGATGCGGATTGATTTTCTCTAATTCGCCAATCTGGCCGACGGATTGCGGATTGAAGGTTCCATGGTCGCAACCGACCCACGCCCACGCCTAGTGCCATGTCATTAGTTGTCTATTAGTGGTCCGAAGTAGTTTTCTTGTTCTTTCTGAAAATTATATGTAATGTTCATTTCAAAAAGCTCATTGTCTTAATGAATTTCAAATATAACATACGCGACAGATAATCCATAGGCTGGTATCTACAAGTAGACATATCAAGCCACACCAATCCCTACTTTATCGACTCCTAACTGAAAGGCACGCGATACCTACTCTGTGCGTGTTTTTAGTATTTCACTCTAGACACTCCGGCCAATTTTAACAATACCAATTGCATCCTTTATCTGGACTTACCAAATGTATTTACTCCAAAACATTTTAAAGTCAACAATCATTCTCTCACAAAAAAAAAAAAAAAAATCAATTTCCAAAACACAGTCGTAATAAACAATACTCAAAGATATACAAACGAATGAAGTGAGATGTAATTATATAGGTTTATTGTACAAATTTTCACAATACTCAACATTTGCTCAAAGTAAGATGCAATATTCAATATTTCTCAAATCATATTAAAAATCCATATCCATGTGACATACAATATATTTCCATATTCACAATCAATATTTATTTTTCTTTCTTAGTTCAAACATATATAGAATCATGCTATCCATATAAGTTTCTTAACACAAAACTCATCAATTCCACAAATACCCTAATCAACACAACACCATGTGAAAATTCATCACGTTCTCGAAGAATTTTCCATCAATTGCATAAACCTTTTAACAAAATTCACTTTTCTCAAAATTTTTCCAAAATCTAAGATTTGATCACAAATAGGGTTTTTATCTCATTTTCAAAATATTCTATTTCATTCACTCCTAAGAGTCTTATAAGCTCACAAGACAAATTTATTTGAATAAAATCATTAAAAAAAATCACTTTTTCACATTTCCAAAGCCCAACACTTCAAATCTCAAACCCTCTGCTTAAAAGCATACCAAAATAAGTAAAGATATGGTAACACCACATATATAACTCAAAGAAACTCTTTACCTCAAGTTTCGAAGAGAAAATATAGGAAAAACTTCAAAATCAATAGTGTTAAAACCTAATATCCACCGCACATAACGTAACCCTTGACGAGCTATCTAATTTCAATGATTATATTGGGATCAAAATCCCAATGGATTTAGGATGATCAAGAAATAAATGAGATAGGTAGATGGTTTTCTAGAGAGATATAAGAAACAAGGGTATGGCTTCTGTCCAGTCCGGGATCGGACTGGACCGTACTGTTGGGTCCATGGGGGCGCACCACGGATTCCGTTTTAATAATCTAAACCGTTCAATGTGTAAAACTCATCAAGTACTATATATCATTAAAAATCACGTTGATCGGATATCGATAGCTATGTGATCAAAACAGTTTTTTGTCAACCGTTAATTTGTTCACCGTCCAAATTTTTTAATACGAAATTGATTTGATCATATAGTTATCGATATCTGATCAACGTAATTTTTTACAAGGATATAGTACTCAACGAGTTCTACATATTGAACGGTTCAGATTATCAAAACGGGACCTGTGGTGAGCCTCCACGGGCCCAACAGCACGGACTGGATCAGACTGGACAGAAGCCATACCCAAGAAACAAATATTAAGACCTATTAGACGATAAGTTTACTTATTAGGACCTCCTCTTAAAAATTAATAACAATAAAAAAAAGTAAAGTAAGAGAAGGGGCAACGTGTAATGTGATAATTAATGCCAAATAGCAAATATAATATTCAACAGGTGAGGGTTGCTAATATACCAATTCCAAGGGGCGTCAGTATAATTTGCCATAATTACAATACACCAAGTTCATATGAAGCCACCGTCTCTCCAATTTGCCGTGTAATTTGCAGCGTTATTCCGAGTCTCACTGCGTTGTTCTTAATCGACATAACTACCCTGGAGTGTTTTCCCTAAAAATGGGTCACAACAAGCCAAAGCGATTCAGAAACAACCAGTCACATCGAGGACAATCTAGTCGCACCCGTGAACTTCCACGGTAAATTCTTATTTTCCTTCTCAATTCACACCGACCCACATGGTCTACTCTTGAGAAGATTGCTCTTTCACTACTCACTAACCACTCATGTACTTTTCCAGGGACGATGTGGAGTCTCTCCCAACTGAACCAGGTAAAGAAATCATCACAAATCACTCACATCGATAGGATTCATGCATATACATACATGGCATTCCAGGTGTTTGATAAATTGTTGCAGTGGCAATTAGTGTATTTATTTTTTGATTTTTTATAAAAAAATTTATGTGGCATTGAACAAGTTTCTTATTGTTACAGCGACTGAAGAGGAGGCAATGGTTCCCAAAATTCAGCTTGCAATGTGGGTATGTATTTGATTTTTTTGGTGTATTTGGCTTGGGGATGTAAAATGTAATAGGGTGGATTATAGTGACCTCTCTGTGATTTGAAAAAATACACTGAGCCATACAATTTGTTGCATAATTACATCGTGCTCCTTAAAGTTATAATTTTTACCCATTTTCACCATTAATTCACTAGTGGTATGGATATCCTGTGTCCACACATCATCTGCATCAGCTCACGTTGCTCTAGCCATACTAAAAAGGATGTTGGTGTAAAAATTGTGGGGTTTATTGTACTTTTTATAAACATTAGGGGTGGTCAGTGTAATTTACCCAATTTAATATGACACTTTGAAATTTACAAGTCCTGTATTTATATTGCAAAAACATTGTGTTATTATTGCCTTTCAGATTCTAACAATGGTTTATATGTAAATAAATTGTTCTTTAATAACGATGATGTTTTTTACCTTCATTCTTCTTCCTCTGTTTTACCTGCGTGCTAAGATTTAGACTCCAGACTCCGGGCACATATTAAAAGAATTTACTGGTCTTGGCAAATTTCATCAGATCTATCACTAAAGCATGACAGATTACATGTTGTTTGCCTTAAACAAGTATTTTGATCGAAAGCTTTATTTCAATTTAAGGCTGGAATAATTAATGTTGAGATCTTGAACTGTGTGAACTGTCATTTATAATTAAGGTTCATTCACATTTATGAATCTAATTGGCATGTCCTTGTTGATTCAGGATTTTGGGCAATGCGATGCAAAAAGGTGCACAGGACGCAAGCTTTCAAGATTCGGTTTGTTGAAAGAAAGTATCTGTTTAAAACACTAACCCACCAAAAATGTTTCTGTTTAACTCCTTTTTTTTTTTAATTGTATTTTGTTTATGCATGTACATAATTAACGGGCTTTTCCAGATTTTATATAGTAGTACTGCTGGACTGGAGTGGGTTTTCCAGAAAAGAGCAAAAAAAAAGAAAGTTCTTGATTTGTCTTGTAAGGATAGCACTCAACAGGAATGCTGCAATTGCCTTACAAGCTTCCACACAAGAGCAATCCATTTTGTTTATGACAAATTGCCATGGTGCAATGAGCAAGAGGACATCATAAATTGAATTATTGTTTATGTGATACTGGGTGTTCAATGATCCCAAACAACTAGATGTATGTTAAGGTTGATTTTGGTCTGCAATGTGTCAGACTCTGGTTGCCTATTGGTTAAGTCTGCTCAGGTTTGAGGAGCAAGCTTGGAGAATTGCACTAAGGTATTGTCTAGGCCAAAAATTGTTATTGAGTTTGTAATTGAAGGGGAAGAAAGTGAACTCAAAAGCCAGATAAAGTACGCTGACAGTGCAAGAGAGGGTGTTGGGAGAGACAAGGAGAGGTTTTGTATGGAGAAAAGTTGATATTTTTTATTTATTTCTCCGTACACTGGCTAGTGTGGGCTTTTCATATGGGCAACTATTGTCTATAATTTGTTGTCGTGATGCTAGATAATGTTAGGTTTATTTTCCATGATTCCCGAGTTCTGGAACTGCATATCCAAAGTTAGGGATGGAGCTATAAGGTAATCAAGGCTCAAAATGTTAAGAAAACAATAGTGACTTGGAATGGTTGATGTTGCTGGTTTAATTTAGGTTGAAAATTGGTGCTGGTTGGGCTTGAATGATTTCATATAGCTCGCAGAGCTGCAGAGTTGAATCCCTAAGGTTAGTAGCAGGAATATTTTAGATGCCACAAATTGGTAAAACTGAGTAAGTTAGTTATGCCATGATTAGGTTGGTTTTAGCTGCTGGTTTACTGTTGTTTTTGAAGGATTCGTAGCTACCATCAGTTTAGTGTTTAGATTGATGGCTCGAGTTTTATTCAAAAGTGGTAATTGAAGATGGGTTTAGAAATTGGAAATACAAGTTGTTCCAAACATGGGAGGATCTAAAATAAGGCTCACATTTGGCTGCTTTTGGGATGTATTTTGCTGCTAGATAAGTAGCAATCTGATGGGTCAAAATCTCTGTTATTAGAATTGTACAATTCAATTTGATTTGATTCAGTGGGTAATCAATATGAACAGGTTGCATGAATCGCAAATAGCTATGAATTGTTGAACTGAATCAGTGAATCGTGAATCGATTTGCTAAAATCAATATTTGGCTTTCTTTTTTGGTTTTTTATTGTTGGAAAAGGGTTCACACAACCTTTTAAAGATTTTTAGGATTACTATATGCCATCTTTTGACTTTCTCCCTCCCAATTTACTCTCAAATATTCAATTTATCCAAGTGCTTGCATTTACAAAAGGAATTTTTTTAAAGCATCAAGTGAGATTTTTGATTAAGTTTCAATATTTTGGTTTCTTAACCTTGTAAAAGGTTAAAAACATTAGGGCTATTTGGCAAGTTGGGTTTGGGGTATTTTTTGGCTAAAATTTACAAAAAGACAATATATACTAAAATAGCTAATAAGACAAAATGTCACATCAAACCCATAATCACTTTACTTTTTCTCTCACAAACATCACATCCAATTACAAAAAAATCTAATCATCTTTCTAAACACAAAAAACTTACTAAAATAGCAACTTCCCAAACACCCATATTGTTGTTGAGTTATTGTTACTTGGAAATTAAAAGTTTGTCTTTGTTTGCTTTTTTTATTAAGAATGGTTGATAAGAAATAATATTTAAAAGGGAAAAGGTAAAGTGGTGAACATGGGAACCCGTGTTAACTTTTTACCTAGACCACGTTATCATCATGCAAAATAACATTTTCATTGATTTAACTTTTTACTTAAGCCAACGTGATCATCATTCAAAATAATATTATCATTGATTTAAGTCTAAATATTTCATATTTATTATATATATTTAATATCTAAACACGTAGATATATTTTTCTATGAAATTTAAAAAGTGACTGAATATTTACGATTCACGATTCGATTCGATTCGATTCGATTTGCGATTTGGTACAAGTCTATTTCGATTCATGATTCGAATCCCAATTTAACAACTATGGTCAAAATCAACGTAGGGTTGTTTTATATTTACATTTTACAAACAAAAATGTTTAAGACCCTCTCCCCTTCCCTCCACTCCCTTTGACCCCCTTTGCTTTTGATTGGTCCATTTTTCTTTTTTCTTTTTTTTCTTCTCTCCCAATCCCCAACCCCCACGTGTGTGTGGGGGTGGTGGGGGTGGGAGTTTTGAGGGGGTCTTAATCAGTCCTCTTTTACAAAAGCTTAATAACTTTTTGAGGAGGCATCTGCATATCCTAATTTTATTGCCATGCTTTGATTCTTTTTGTTTTTTGTATTTTTCATCCAGAAGCATTGAAATTAAGACTTGAACTCTAGTTCTTGTTGCAACTGTGGGTATATGGGTCATCGTTGCTACGTGGTCAGCCTGTGGGAGCCAGGTCATCTTTTACGTTAAAATTCTTACCCTCCACGTGGTAGACTGTTAGGGGTACCATGACATCTACTAGTATTCGTTGGGGCTTATGTGACTAGCGGCGCAAAGTATGGTTGCTCGGCTTACTATCTGCAAGTTAAAATAAGCCCTAAGGCATGGCCACAACACTACTCCGTCAATTTGGTATGACAAAAGAGGGATGTGTTTTTTAGAGAATTAGAGTTGGTTAGTTCAGAGAAATGGATAATTGATGATACGGCTAGGCTTGAGTCAAGACAAGGCCTAATTTCAACAAGTGATGTTGGGTTCATCCCTAAAAGTGCAAATAGAGATATGAAGAAGATGCGTGTGGCGAACCATATGGTTGGAAATGAGCTGCCCAAAGATTTATGGCAACCTAGCCAAGTTCAAGACTTGTCCTATTGACATGAATAGTTTTGGGCCTAATTCATTTTCTAATTTTTCTTCGAATCACATTTCCTCCAAAACCAAGGACCAACTATATAGTCTTGGGCTTCTTTTTCCTCCTACTCGGATTAGAAAGGGAACTAGAGGTTATGTTGAGGAGGAATAGACTGGTATAGAGGAGGAATTCATATAATGTGTTTAAAATATTTTATAAAAACTTGTAAAATTTTACGGAATACTACAAAAAAAAAACTCCTAAGGTTTGAGCCTTGTAACAAAATAAGCCCTAAGTTTTTAATTTTGTCAATTTAAACCCCAAACGTTTGATTTGTTTTCAATCTAAACGATGTGTCTATTTTCGTTAAGTAAAATCAATGGAAAAATGGGTATTTTAGTCATTAAATTGAATGAAAATGGTATTTTAACCATTTTATGTATACCTACATTGATTTTAAAGACTAAAATACATTTTTCTGGCAGTTTTTCTTAACAAAAATAGGTAAATGGTTTAAATTGAAAACAAATCAAAATATTAGGATTTAAATTGATAAAATTAAAAAAGTCTGGGTTTATTTTGTTACAAGGCTCAAACCTTGGTTTTTTTGTTTGTTTGTTTGTTTGTTTTTTTTCAAATTGTCCCAAAATTTTACATTGGGAATAAATGAAGAAAAAGGGTGAAAGTTGCTCTATAATGCCTCACCTCCCTAACTTTTTTTATAAAACGTGTATTATTGGTCACTTATCTTCTAATATTTAAACGATTAAAATATCAAAGTATTTATATATAATATTTTGGTCAATTCGTTTTGTATCGATGTTAAATTTTCAAAACCAAAACAGATCGAAAATTGAAAGTTCGGTCTGTCTTGAGCTATTGGTTCGGTTCTAATCAATTTTTCTTACACCCCTTGTTGTGTGGGAACTTGAGGATGTAAGTTGAATTGTCTGAGTTTGACATGATGGCTTTGATTGTGAGGGGGCCGAGTCAGAATTAGGGGTGAAGTTAGAGGAAGGTTATAGAGGGATGAATAGATGGTGTGGGCTTTAATTGAAAGTGATTGTGATGAGTTTGTAGTGGAGGGTATGGGAGGCTTAGTCCTTGCAAGAGGTGTGGAGAGCGTGGGGAATGAACTTGGTGAGGTTGTCTTGCTCTCAAACAATGGTGATTCAAGGGATGGCGGTTTGCTTTCTTTAGGCTCATGCCGCCCCTTGGTAATGATCTGTCCAAAAGGTAGGAATCTTTTGGCCCATGTTAATTTGCAGTGAAAGGGGAGTGTGGAGCTAGTAATCAAAGTTACTTTTGGAAGATTTGATCAAAGGTGATGAAGAAGAATGATGTGCTAGGAGGCTTGAAAAGTTAATTTATATATATTTTTTACTTTTATATATATTATCAAAGATAAAACATATGAGAGAGATTATTTTAATTTTTTTTTATTTTTTTGCTCTTTCTCATTCTTTCAATTTCCCCCATATTGTTTCCAAATACTATAGATTGACCACCAAACAATCTTTATGAAAATATAATAAACCTAAAGTGTCCTGTGGCATGTCTAGACATGAGACACACATGTTTTCTTAGTGTCCTCGTATGTGTCCAATGAAAAAAAAAAGAAAAAGAAATGGACATACCATGTGGCATGCCCAATACGTATTTTGTTGTGTTTGTGTTTGACATGCGTCGGACACAAGTGTGACCTAGGTCGCCTAATCTATCTACCTAGGGTGGCAGATCATAGATTAGTTTGCGAATTTGTGAATTGAGCACAAATTCTTGCTATATTCGCGGATTTAATTGTTGTAATTTGCAAATTCATATAATTAGATCCATAAACTCATAATACACCAATGAAAATGTGACATATATACACGCTTTGTTGCACGCCGCATATGTTGAACCACCTTTCTCACTTGGTGCGCTGAGCAAAATGCTTGGTCCAAGGGTAGAACCTGAGATCTGTCAGTGAAGAATAATTTTACCACTGAACTAACAACTCATGCATTATAATATGTTCCTACAATATTATGTATACACTTTATATTTTTGTTATCAAAAATAGTAAAATTTAGATGCCTATAACATAAAAATATAATAAATGCCAACAATAACACGCTATGTTATTTTAAAATATAAATATTTAATTATATTAAAATTTAAAATTGATATAATATAGATGCTCTCAAGGCATGCTCAACTCTACAAATTTTAAAAATTGACACACACTCACTTTCTTTTGCTCCCGCACCACGATTTTGTGACTTTGGGTATGACGACTTAATGAATTGTTCAAGCTTCATAGTTGTCGATAACTTGAGAGCTAAAATTGTTTGGGGAACGTAGTTTGGCTCGACCATTGGGTCCTTCATGCTTTTTTTTGCAAACTAAAAAAGAGTGTGAACAAATTGTTCATGACGCCTATAATTGTTGTTTTCTGATAGCCAAGATGTAGACTTAATACTTTCTTCTTCTTCTTCTTCTTCTTTTGGTCTTTGTTTTCTTTTTAATCAGTTTAGAATAGCAACCATTGCAAAAAAGGTGAAATGATTTCCTAACAAAGTGCCAAAAAGTCTGTTTAGAATAGTGATTGGGGAGTCCAAACATAGAGTCCTTAAAGAAACTTTAAAAGTATGAAGAGAATTGGGCGAACAAATTTGGTGATATCATGAATAAGTTTTATGACGCATTCCCTTAAAAGATGAAAGGCCTTTTTGAGAATATTGGTATTGTCTTATGGCCTCCTCTGCTATATTTGAGAGTTTTTGAATTCTTTAATGACCCCTGCCACTAATCAAGTGATGACATTCAGAGAGATCAGATTTTTATTTTTATTTTTATTTTTCTGCAAATTATTAGTTTTGCTGAATGATGAATTTAATAATATCTTGCAGGAGTTGCGTGTCAACAATGGTTTTGGAGGCATTGTGTTGAGGTATTTTTATCAGAGTTATCTCAGCTTCCCTTATTATGTTTGTGGTCCTCTTGTACAGTAATGTATCATGTGATTGTTGTTATGTGGAGAATCCTAGATCTATGTAGTTCTCAAACATAAAACATGTGTTCTGGGGAAAATTTGGATAGAAAAGAACTGTTTCTCTTCTGTAAGTTAAGTCCCCGGCATGTCTTTTCATGTAATGACTTCTACCAACAGTTGGATATGTACCAATGATAATGGGCTCTATAGTCCTATGTCTTGATGACACCTGCATTCTAAGAGCTTCAAGAAAACTGGAATGTTTCAACCTATTTACCATCTTATCATATCTTTGCTGAAAACAATCTATTGATTTGTAGTTGAAAGCATCTAATAAGAATTACAAACACTTCTAAGAAGGAAACGTGTCGTGTCGGATACCATGTCGGACACCAACACAACACGACACGACACGACACTTGTTGAACACTTCCCAGCAGTTAGACATGCATGAAACATATTACAAGTTTTAGTAAAATAGCTTAGAATCCAATGATAAAATGAAAGCAATTCATATTTATAAAAAATTATTATCTTGGACTTAAATATTTACATATATGATATATACTCCCTCCGTCCCAAAATATTAGTTCCTTGTTCCATTTTTCATTGTCCCAAAATATTAGTCAATTTTCAAAAATCAAGGACTAAAATAATATGAATTTCCTATTTTGCCCTTATTTTAAATTCATTAACAACACAAAATGTTCAATTATGGCAATTGATATTCCCCAAAAATGTACTATCAGAGGGTAATTTTTGAAAATCAATAGTTTTAAAGTGCAATAATTGTACTACCAAAAAAGTTGGAATTTCCAAAAGGGACTATTATTTTGGGATGGAGGGAGTAATAGTTATCTATCCTTATATATGACATATAACAAATATATATAATTATATATCTTGTATATGTGTAGTGTCCCCCATGTCTTATATTGTGCATTTTATGAAAATTTATGTGTCTGTGTATGTATGTGCTACTTGTGTCATGTGTCCATGTATGTGCTACTTGTGTCATGTGTCCATGTCTGTGCTACTTAACATCTGACTTAACATCTGACTGTGTCAATCTTTAAATCTTCCTAGATTGACCAAGATAATTGAGAAAAATAGATTGATAATTGCTACAATGCACATATGGAGAGATACTGATATCTTTGTGTGGTGCTTTGTTAAGTCCATAGCTTTTATATAACACACATATTCTTATTGATATTTAATTTCTCTTTTAAAATCATGATGTCAGTCCTGCTGGGAGTCAATGTGTCTCAAAAGAAGATTATATCCTAATTAAGCGGAAAGGGTTAGCTGTTGTGGATTGCTCATGGGCACGCTTGGATGATGTACCTTTCACAAAGTTGCGTTGTGCTGCTCCTCGACTCTGTATGAATTTCAATTTACTCATAGAATTAGTCTTATTTTATTCTCACATGGCTATGCTTTTCTATGTATTTTGTTAGCTCAACTGTATGCATCCATACTTTGTCTTACATGGTATTGGATTAATAAATTGTCTATGCTTTTATTAAATTCTTAGTCATGTAAAAATTGAACAATGAGTTATAGATTGAGATGCTTTAATCAAAATGGTGGTGCCGAGAACCTCTTTTGCTACTTTTTTTCATACAACTAGCCATCTTACACACACCACATAGAATTAGTTTGTTCATTCAATTTTGTTCGTTCTTACTAATCATTATGTTCTTAAATAGTGCTAAATTTTCACCTTTTAAATCCCACCATCTAATTCGCAGATGCCTACTTGCCCTTCTCTTCCTCTTCACTTTCCTAATACATAGACCTATAATCTATATTGTGTAGCAAGACTCTTTCTCCTACTATTACTTTACAATCTTTACAATTTCCTTTATCAAGTCTATTTAGCTAGTCTTCACTTTCCTAATACATATACTTGTAATCTGTATTGTGTAGCAAAGCAAGACTCTTTCTTCTTTACGATCTTTACAATTTCCTTTACAATCTTTAAATGTTAGTGGTCGTCTCTCTTCTTGAAGCACGTGTTTGCTATTACAAAGTCGTATGACATTGCAAACTCTAGGATAGAACTACCTTCATAATTTCTTGCCAAATCCAAAACCTCCATCTACTCTTTCACATCCCTCACATCCTTCATTGAATATCTCTATGTAGCGATTAAGATCACCCACCACTTATAAAAACTCTATCCACTTGGTATCCCTTGTATTAAGAGTAGCAACTTCTTGCAAATAATAAAAAGGTTAGGTCATCCAATATTACACCTCCTAGCACCTATGTGGGAACCAACACTAGGTGATGTCCTTTTTCATGTGGGTTTTGCATAAGAAAGCATAGATAGTTAAGTTCATTAAGGTACGATGCACAAGAATGGAAAGGAAAAGGCCATTGCGCAGTGGTGGTGTTGGGAGCTGTGGGTGGGGTACACCGTTCGGTGTTATTTCCAGAACTTACTGCTCTCATACTCAAAGCGTTCCTTCCCACCTGGCAGTCCAAGTTTTATATGTTGTAGCACTGATGCTAGACAGAACCTTCAACTAGTTATATTAAGCAGCAACCACAATGAGGTTTGGTAGGGTAGATTTCGGAATGTGAATTAGGGTAAACTGTGCCAGAATAGGGATGTGAGTGACACTTAGGATTGAGAAGGTTTCATAAGTACTTGTAGGGCATAAAAGGTTTAGCTTGCGGGTTATTTCTGGATATGCAGGGGAATTTTGGGAATATCTGTGCATCGGGGCGTTTAGTAATTTTTTAGGGCTTTAAATACTAAAAGGTACCTGGGTTAACCTTTAGGTTCAGTGTTATTGTTTGAAGAAAAAAGGTTGGATGTGGCTGATTGTTGGCATAGACACTTGCTGGAAACTGGTTAGATCTGAGTGAAGAGACAAAGGAGGGGGGTTAAACCTTAGAACATCACTAATGTTTTCTAGGAGTCTCACCTAGAATGATTAAATGGGATCTCATCATTTGAAGAAAGCAGAACTTGTAGAAATTTCACTTATAAAAACTTTTAAAATTGTCTTCACAAGGCTAGTTTATAAAAGCATAAAACTATGTTAGCCTGTTATTTAACTTGAGATTTCCATTTCCTTCCAAAACTAATTGGGATTCAAACTCAATCCAACTAAGAAAAGGACTTAAGAAATCTCCTAAAAAATAGCTACCTAATCTGATCCCAAAACAACAAATTACCCCCATATCTGAAAATGAGGAGGTACCCCTGATCTAAAAATTACTAAATACCCCTGAAAAAATCAAAAACCCTTTTTGGTTTTGTAGCATACACTTTTCGAGGCTGATTCCCATCAAGCACCTTAAGATATAATTGCCAGAAAATGGAGACTAAAAAAAGGAGAGCAGTTTGGCCCATCACAAATTCACAATTAGTTGACAAAATGTAAGCCCAACTAATTGTGATGTATTTTGCAGTATCTGGCAAGACAAATTGACTCCTTCAAAAAACAATGTTTTCAAACTCTGTTCAAGAAAATGCAGTTGAACTCCATATCCCACGTCCACGTAAAATGTTGACACACTTCTGGAACAACTTGGTTAAGTTCAAACACTATATGCCTTCCTTGCTTTGTTTCATACCATTGCCGGAGGATTACATTTGTGATTTTGTTTGTCAGAGAAGCCTGGGTACATATACAAAAATGCTACTAAGATACTACAGTAATTACACAAAGCATAAACTTTGGATTTTTCTTGTCACATTGTGCTTCCTAAGATTATACATAAACAAGATATTATTCTTAGAACCATGATCTGGTACAGAACTGTTATTTTGAGTTGTTTTTTTTTCTCCTAGACTGTCTCTTGAAAGTTGACAAATCATTTGGGATTGCAGTACCATGGTTGGTAGCGGCGAATCCAGTCAACTACGGTCGACCATGTCAGCTGTCTTGTGTTGAGGCATTATCTGCAGCATTAATAATATGGTACCAGAATTTACCCCTTTTTATCCTTTTTTGTGCGAGTTTTCTTTATTTGGGTGCTCACTGGGTACTGAATAGACTCTTATGTAGTAGTTAGAAGTAATCTGTGATTGTTGGGAAAATAAAGATGCATACTATGCTGGCTTAGCACTTGTGACCCTTCATTAGCAGGGCAATCAGTCAGATGGTGGACCATATCACGCGGACACCTCAAATATGTGAGGTGTCCTTGCTGGACATGAAATCACAAACCATGGCCTGGGTTGGTTATGTTATTTGCTTGATGCACTAATTGACAGGTGTCCGCTCTATCCCCTAGTCTTACAAAAGCAAGAGAAGTAGCCTCGGTTGTGTAGTTGTGTTACATTAATATTTTGGACAAAGTGAAACATGTAATATTGCATAAATATGTCATTCAACTCCAAGATGTGGAAGAAGGAATTGTGAAGCTTTAATGACTTAGTAATGTCCCTTTGTTTTTGACAATTTAGTAATTTCCCTTTGTCTTGACATTTGGAGGATAGACAAATTTGACACCAGCCACTAACTTTACTTGATGTGCAATTCTGTGTATCAATTCATATGCATGTTCTACTTGCTTGCATCCTGCTCAAAAAAAACTTGCTTGCATCCTGCTCAAAAAAAACTTGCTTGCATCGATCCATATATCAGCATGGATGTGTATTTTGCATTCTCTTGTGGTATTATTTCTAAATATATACTCCCATTTTATTTTTTATTTATTAAACCTCTAGCAAGAAAAACTAATGGGGCGATCAGTGCACAAGGCTCCCGCTAAATCAAGGTCTAGGGAATGCTTAAATAATATCCAATATTGATAGTACATCTAGTTTGTGTGGGTCATCACTATCGGATGCTTCATCTCACTAACTATTAAGTTGTAGCATACTATGTGGAACTTGTTAGTAACATATTAGTGATACATTGCTTTCATACGTTTCAACAGTGGGGAGGAGGAAACAGCGAACTTGTTGCTAAGTAAGTTCAAGTGGGGTCATGCTTTCTTGTCCCTGAACAGGTATTTTGTACTTTCTTCTTAACCATTAATCTTACTGTCTGTGTTTCTTTCACCTATTCATCGTGCATGCGTGTGTGACTTTTCTGTGCATGTGCACAAGTACAGACATGGAATTCTTTAAAACATGTCTCAACCATTGAGCAGAGTGAAAACGCCAGGGTGGAATATCCCCACTTTTTTTGAAGGTGCAGAGTTTGATGATTTTATTTAGTTGGAATATATTAATTTTGAATAAAGTTAAAGACAAGATGGACTATTTGGAACAATATTTGAACTTGATGTATGATTTGTTTCGACATGAGGTCCAAATGCTTCCTAACAGAAGTATTATATGCATGCTGCTTTTGTATCTTTTTCACTGTATTAACTTTTGACCATTGCAGGGAAATTCTGAAGGCATACTCTGAATGTGAAAACAGTGCTGATATGATTTCAGTTCAGAATGCTTGGCTATCCCAACAAAGTCAATCGGTTGCAAAGGTTCCTTCAGCTGCTGAAGGTACTTCTTTGTTGTTTTCAAGAAAAATTCTCCATTTACACATCACAAAAGAATTTCTTTTCTGTCAGCTCCAGTTTTTCGTGACTGATAGTTGAGTTTTTGGGGTGGAGATAGATTAAGGGAGCTTCTAAATACACTCATATAATTAAGTGTTTCACCCACCACAAGCTTTGAGACCCTTGTACATTATGAAAGAAATTCTTGTACTTTAGCTTCTAAATACACCCACATAAGTTATCGTTACACCCACCACATGCATTGACACCATTGTACCTGACGAGGGAAATTCTTGTATGATTGATGTAGAGAGAAATTCTTGGGTGCATTTAGCATCTCCCATAGATTAATTAATATTGGTGAATAGTGATTTGCTTTTTAGTCCTCTGTTACCCCTAACCAATATATTTAATACACTTAAGGGCGGATAGGACTCTACCAAAGTCAGGCATGTTTGGTTCAGTATATTTTAAGCTGAAAATAATTAGAAATAGAAGTCAAAATTACCTCTTCCAGATAATCAACTTTTTTTTGACTTATTTAAACTATTTTTGCATTTTAAACCATAAGCAGAAGCTGCACAAAATTACCTGTTCCAGATAATCAACCTTTTCCAATTTCTTTTATCAAGTGCCATATTTTCTGCTAAAGTTTTGATCAAAATATCGTTAGTCACTCTCAGTCCAGTCCTTTTTACTTATATTATTTTTGCAGCACTGCATTGTTGTTCCTTATCAGAGCTGTTGGTTTTTGTTTATTAAAAGTGAATTTATCATTTTGGACTTTCTTGTGATTGCGTTATGCATCATATAGCTTTTTTCTTTCCTTGTCGTCCTCATCATCTGAAGTAGTTGCATATAAGGAGCATTTTCTTCTTGATGGCCTACCATTTTTGATATTGTCAAGTGCAACTAGCTTGACCTTATGGTTTTGTTAATTGTAACTATATTATCAGCTAATATGATAAATTGTTTGGCATTTCCTTACATGACTTTGATCCGTTCACCCATTCTTTGGAATATAGGCTTGTTCTTGGTCAATGGCATAGGCATACTGTAATTGGAAATTAACCTTTCACTTCTCTAAGTATTTTCACAGTAGACATGGCTTCATTATATGTTTATTTATCCAGTAAAATAAATTTCCATAACCCATAAAGGTTTCACTCGCTAATCTGATATGGTTGCTAATCGTGTTAACTGAAAATATTTTCATTTTTCTTACTGCAACAGGAGCAGACGTAGCATCTCGAAGTGAAGATGAGGGCTCTTGTGATGATTCTGAAGATGGCCTTCCACCACTTGAAAAGAATTTTAATCATTTAGACTTGGAGGAAAGTGACGAAGAAAGCGAGTAAAAATGGTATCCTATGTGACAGGAAACAGGGAAAAGGACCATCCCAACTCTTGCCTTGTTGCTACAATGGAGCGAGAGATGTTGCCCAATGCACCTGATAAGTGCCTCAGGGATAAGCCATGTTTGTGACAGTTGTCAATATGTACAAGTGGATTTTAATTTTTTTTTTTTTTTTTTTTGAACTTTTTGAGAAGTGTGTTTGCTATAGGCATTCTCTTAGAGCTAGTTATATGGGTTGCGAACTTGCTATTACTAAAATATGACAGGAAGTTAAACTTTTTCTTCTCGAATAGCTGGCTATATGAGCTGCTAGATAAATTTTGATAAGTCTTGGTATTTGACACAACATTTAAATTTGGCATTGCATAATAGAAATAGAAGAAATAACATTTTGCAGAGCGACGTTGTTAAATTGTAGTCTTTTATCACTATTCATTGTTAAAGTCTAATTATAGCTAGTTATTTAGATATTGAATCATTGGAGATGCTCTCAACTCAAATGACAAAACTCGGTTACAGACGGCAGCCTTGTAAATGGTAAATGAATGTGAAGCAAGATATGGTTTTATTTGATTGCTGGAACTGTTGTAGCATTGTTTTGTTTTTTCTAAATTAAAGAGACAGAATAATTTTTTTTCTCTCGAGGATGGGTTTGGCGTGGCATGGTAATGGGGAAGGGGAATTCGATGAAAAATGCAACGATGACAATTAGGGATGGCAATGGGCCGGGGTGGGGTTGGGGATCACACTTCCTGTCCCCAATCCTCGATGGTGAAAATTTCTCTGTCGCTGACCTTGATCTCCGACGGAAAAACCCATCACCGTCCATGTCCTCGCTTCTTAACAGGGATTGGGTTTCCCCCATCCCGAAAATTCCCTGGCCAAAAAAGAAAAAAAAAATGAAAAACAAAAAACAAAATAGCAGCAACAGATCTACCACAACAATAATCTAACAATAACTAAAAAAAATAGAAATCTTCTCCATAGATCCAAATCTACCACAACAATAACAAGCACTATGAGCATCACAATTTTGGTAATATTAATTATCATTTTTCATTGGCACGTCTTTGTCAGTCTTTCCTGTTAACGCTTGGATTGCAGCTTCACCTAGGGTTTCATCCTCTGAAACAGTAGCTCGATGAGAAAAATGAACAACGCGATCAAACAACAGAGGAGATCGGAGCAGATCTGAGGCGAAGGGGGCAGATCGGAGCAAATCTGAGGCAATGGGGTAAAGGAACGTTGATGATCCGTGACATGTAGCTCGATGATTCGACGCTATTGTTCTAACTAGGCGGCGGAATGGTAGAAACGGAGAGAGAGAGAGAGAGAGAGAGAGAGTTGAGATTTGTGAGAGAAGTGAAGTGAGTGTGAGGAATATATATATATATATATATAGGGATGGGGTAAAGGAACGTTGATGATCCGTGACATGTAGCTCGATGATTCGACGCTATTGTTCTAACTAGGCGGCGGAATGGTAGAAACGGAGAGAGAGAGAGAGAGAGAGAGAGAGTTGAGATTTGTGAGAGAAGTGAAGTGAGTGTGAGGAATATATATATATATATAGGGATGGTTCGGGGATAATTTGGGGCGGAGGCGGGGCAGAGGTAACCTATCACCGTCTCCGGTTCGAAAATCGTTGGGGATCCATTTTTTAATACCAGTCCCGGCCCTATGAAGGGTAAATTTTCTATTTTTTAATACCAGTCCCGGTCCTATGAAGGGTAATTTTTGGGAAAAACCTGGCTTATCGAGGTGGGGTGGCTCGAGTTTCCGTCGAGCTGAGTTCACATTGCCATTCCTAATAACAATCATATGAAATGATAACTACTTTGCAAGCAAAAAATGGATGTGGTTGGATGGTGATAAGGGTGGTGAAATGGTGGTTAAATGGCGATAGAGAGTGAAGTAGTGGTGGAAATTGGCAGAATGGTAGTCGAAGGGGGTTGGGGTAGTTGGATGGTTGTGGGGGTGGCATGATAGTGGTTAACAAGGAGTTGGAGAGTGTGAAGGTTGTGGGGGTGGTAGTGAGGGTTGGTGGTGACGATGATTCATGGTTTAGGAGGTGGTGGCAATCGTAGTTAAGTGTGGTTTTTTTCAAATTGTCATCTTAGGTCTATTTGGAGATCAATTTCGATGATCCAAATCGTTTATTTTTTTATGATTCATTAAGTAGAATATTTATACAAAAAATTAAAATAATTTGATATCGGTAACTATATGCTTGAATAATATTTGTTATTAAAAAATGGACGACAATATAATTTTAAAAATAGGCATCCTTTTTTTATAATAGAAATTTGGTGCAAATTATAGTTACCGATATCTGATCATCTTTATTTTTTTCATAAATATTCTATTCAAAGAGTTCTAAAAAGTGAACGGTTCAGATTATCGAAATCAATCCAAAAATTGGCATACTAAACTCAAACGCTCTCTTAAATCAAGATAATCAACTTAAGAAAAGTCAAACCCATAGTAGTTATATGGTTCTAATCCACAAGAATGATGGTTGTTTGTGATTAGTTTTAATGAGTGTACCATGGTTTAAATTAAAATAATTGATAATTAAAATTTTAATTTATTATACGGATTAATTCCTTATTTAAAAAAAAAATTATTTATGCAGTTTTTCTTATTAAGGGAGGTCAATGTAGCAAATATAGACTCTAAGAAATGTGAAGTGTAATAGTATATCATTTAGTTTTTGTCAGTGTGTATGTTAATTTGTTAAAAAAACATTTAATGCATTTCCAATAATACTTGATATATAATATTTTTTCAAAATTTTAAAAATGAATTCCATAATTAGTGAAATACTTTTTATTGATTTCATTCATAAATTCACAATTCAAGTGATAGAAAAATTTCTACATTTTATAACTTATCTTGTAAGGGATGAATAACATCTTTTCTAACCATGGCTCCATTTAATTTAATTTTAAAATTATAATTTGAATATGCAGTTGTGATTTAAGTGCGGAGTTAAGAGTTGAGTTTTGAAAAGAGAAAATTTGTTTAGTTATGTGTGAGGGAGATTTTATAATCTGGCTTTGGGCCGTGGTAGAAGCCGGACACGACAGGGCCGAACATGTTTGGGCCGAGCTAGTTGGGCCAGACCAGAGTGGGTTTTGCTCGGTCGAGGCTCAGGCAACCTATTTAGGCTGAGCTAATTGGGACTTCCCTGGAGCTGGTCTTGCTCGGTCGAGTCTCAGCCCCAAGGACGAGGTCCCGTGTTTAAACTGAGCTTACTTGGCCGAGATGACCGCCTGCCAACCCAGGTTCCATGGTTCGCACATGTAGCTCGGCGAGAAAGGCCTTTTGTTCACCGGATCGACCTGTCTTGAACTCGGTTCTGCCGAAATGCTACCGAGCTCAGCTGTGAAGGAGCTTGGCGAGTGGAGCACTCGGACTCGTTACGCAGCACGGTCGTGGAAGGCCAAGGAGATGCCGCCGGGCTGTCGAGTTCCCGCTGATGTTGTCTGGCGATTTGGTTAGGTGGTGTTCGCTAGATTTATGCTAACAGATGGGAGAGCAGCTCCATGTGTCAAGAGACTAATGGGTGCAGAGTTGAGCGTAGAAAGTATATAAGCGTGACTGCACCCCCCATGCTGGGTATGGAACTTCATCTGGTGAGAGAAACTCTTTTCCTCTCTCTCTCTCTCTCTCTTTATCTCTGAGTGTGTGTGCTAACTTGACCGTCGAAGGGATTTTTCGGCCACACACCGCTGGGTAGCTCATCGCCGTTGTGCTCGTAGGTCGATCGGATAGACAAGGAGCTTGGACGAAAGGAGTACGAGCTCCGCGGAATATTTGCTCTCCGTACAATTGGCGCCGTCTGTGGGAAACTTGATAGACAAAACCTTGTCTTCCAAGTTCATCTAATCGTCTTCCATGGCAAACAATGATGAAATACCGTTGTCCGCCATCGACGGTGTTACCCCAGAATCAGCCAGACAGAGAGACAGACTCCCCGTCGTTTAGAACATGGCGGACCTGGAGACTTCCCCAAGAAGACATTCAAGAGATGCGCGAGATAAGCGCGCTAGAAGTTTTGGTCATTCATGGAGCCCAGACGGACACCGGCGATGAAGAGAATCGCACGCCAGACGTTTGGAGCACAAGTTAAGGGACCAAGACACTGTCATCTAGAGGATGGTGGCAGAGATGGAGGCTTTCAAATGCCAGGTCAAGGAGAAAGGTGTTGCTGGAGTGGGAGACCACAATGACCGCACCCAACCCCGCCGTTCAGGCAGCTAAAGCCAGCGGCGCACTCCTTCCTTATCTATCACCAGAAGCTATAGGGGTGAAGACCTAGACATGCCTGCAGAGAAGTCTAGCACGCAAGATAGTACCTACTGTCCCTCACGTCCGGCGACCACTTCGGGATATTCTTACTCCGTCCGTTCCGAGGACTTAAGGGATGTCCTGAAGGAGGGAGCTCGCCGACACGAGGCCGAAAGGGTGCCGGTGCTCCAGCGGCTATTTACGGGGGTCATGCCAGCGAGGAGGTCGTAATGCCGCCACTCCACCTAGTCGTGCTTCTCTCTCTAGACACTGATTTGGCAAGGCTGAACGCCACCCCCTTCTCTCTTGAGATAGAAACCACACCGCTTCCCGCGGGCTTTCACCAGCCTAAGTTTACGCTCTACGATGGAAAGACCGATCCATGCATGCATATAAGCCACTTCTGGCAGGTCATGGCCGGACATAGGTGCAATGACGCTCTTATGTGCCTTATCTTCCCGTCAAGTTTGGGCGAGCTAGGCTTGAAATGGTTTGAGAGGCTGCCGGAGGGAAGCATCGAAAGGTGGCAGTAGTTGGCGGAAGCCTTTGTGACTCGTTTCAAGACCAACACTAAAATGCCAAAGGAGGTGGACCACCTTCTCAGTGTCAAAATGGAGTCGAGCGACACACTCAAGGCATACAACTCCAGGTACTGGGGAACCTTCAATGAGATTTTAGATTGCCCGATCAACCTGGCAATCAACCAATATAAGCGCGGTCTCTTGGTCGGACATAGGCTGCGGGACTCGCTTACCATGAATCAGCCGACATATATGGGCCAACTAATGCAGCGCATCAATGAGCACATCCGAGTCGAAGACGATGCAGCCGCAGCTACTGTGATGACAAGTCCGGTAGTAGAGAATAAGAGAGTAGTGCGAAAGGTTCACGCAGTCGGAGAAGATGATGGCCATGCAAACCGCTATGGAAGAGATATAGGGTGTTTGGTTTTTGGAAGATGTCTATAAGAAAGCCGAGGAAAAGGGGCATAAAACTCGCGGAATGTAAATGGCCGATCCATTTCCAGAACATCGAACTTTGGCAATCTAAAGTTTTGTTCCTAGTTGTGTTTTTGTAACCCTTTTTGCCAATGGCGCAATGAAACAAGTAGACCATTTTCCTAAAAGTTGTTGTATTTGTGCCTCGGTAAGCGGATTTAGTGCAGTCCAAGGAGCAACTAACAATCATTTGGATGGAAAGATCAACTTTGGAATTCCTTGCCGGATGGGTTTTACTCGGCAGGAGGTCTGTTGATGATTTTATCAACTTTGAAATTCCTTGCCGGACGGGTTTTACTCGGCAAGAGGTCTGTTGAGGATTTTATTAACTTTAGAATTCCTTGCTGGATGGATTTTACTCGGCAAGAGGTTTGTTGATGGTTTTAATCAACTTTAGAATTCCTTGTCGAGCTGATCTTGCTTGCCAAGAAGAAAGTCACCGAGCTGACCTTGCTCACCTACCTTTGAGTTCCTTGCCAAGCTGATCTTGCTTGCCAAGAGGTAAGTCGCCGAGTGGACCTTGCTCGCCAAGAAGTAAGGAATTCGTCGAGCGGACCTTGCTCGTCGACCTTGGAGTTCCTTGCCGAGCTGATCTTGCTTGCCAAGAAGGAAGTCGCCGAGCGGACCTTGCTTGCCGATCTTGGAGTTCCTTGCCGAGTTGATCTTGCTCGCCAAAAAGAAAGTCGCGGAGCGGACCTTGCCCATCGACCTTGGAGTTCCTTACAGAGCTGATCTTGCTCGCCAAGAAGAAAGTTGCCGAGTTGACCTTGCTCTCTGACCTTGGAGTTCCTTGCCGAGCTGATCTTGGTCGCCAAGAGGTAAGTCACCGAGCGAACCTTGCTCGCCGACCTTGGAGTTCATTGCCGAGCTAGTCTTGCTCGCCAAGAAGAAAGTCGCCGAGCTGACCTTGCTCTCCAACCTTGGAGTTCCTTGCCGAGCTGATCTTGCTCGCTAAGAAGTAAGTTGTCGAGCGGACCTTGCTCGCCGACCTTGGAGTTCCTTGCTGAGCTGATCTTGCTCGCCAAGAGGTAAGTCGCCGAGCGGACCTTGCTCGCTGACCTTGGAGTTCCTT